AACTCTTAAAATGATTTACGTTGCCTCAAACGTATTAAGCTAAAGCAGATTTTATTCTGAGTTTCTTGACGGAATCGTGGAGTTCGTAAAACCTCAAACGTGTCGATGTTCTGCGAGAACAGAACCAGGTGCTCAGGTGTGAAACGTTTCAAATGTTTGCCGAGAAGCTCCGTGTTCTGCTGAAGTGTTTGTCCAACAGTGGCGGGATTAACAAAATTAAAGCTTGTAAAATTGCACGCAGAGATTAGATCACTAGAGGAAGGAACACGTTGTCTTTTGACCTCACGCCAAAACTTTGTTTTAAAGAAAACAAAGTGCCAGACACGAAGCACATACAACTGTTGCAAGTATTTTTACACAGTTTTCAAACAAAAAGTGCAAACTAAAGTTTAAAAATAAGCTTTGGTTTAACGCAGTGACACCATGTATAATAAAACAAATGCTTTTTTGTTTTTAAATTTGTCAGAAGCTGACGTGTCGGTACAAAAACAACCATATACCGTATTTTCTGCCGTACACGTCGCACCGCCCTGTAAGTCGCATCAGTCCAAATATATCTAATAAAGTGGAAAAAATCCATAAATATGTCACTTCGCCGTATAAGTCGCATCTATTCTGCGTCGCCGCTGACAACCTGGAAATGTGGGCTGGTGTTGTGCCAAAAATCAATTGGCTGACAAATGGCGGTCGCGGGAGCGTGCACGGGAGGATTTTAGCAAGAATTTAACAAGATTAACATTTAAAATCAATTATTTGTTTGCTCAAAATTATAGTAAAGGTGAGTCTCAGTCTAACTATTGCTTAATAAATGCACTTTGATTGTCAAATCAGCTGCATTTCACCAGGGCGGTGCAGCAAAATGAAGTGATTTAACGGTTGCTTCAAGCAGCGAGCAGAACGAAGGTGGCAGTCTATGGCAAGCCGTTTGTGTCATTAATAGACACCTTTTCCTATTACATGATACAACAGCATGCCATACAACTAGAGTGCCATCTAGCAGCTGAAAATGGTAGTTCAGTATTTTCAGTCAGAATGAATGAAAACGGTCATATCTCAGCCAAAAATTCATTTATAAATATGGAAAAATCCATAAATACGTCGCTTCATATAAGTCGCAGAGCATGAAAATTAGGCAACAAAAATGTGATTTATAAGGTGAAAAATACGTTAATTATATGTTTATAACCAAAAAAAAGTACATGCTCAGGTCATCTGGCCAGTTTCTTTTTTTTTCTGAAACGTTTCACTTTCCATCCAGAAGGCTTCGTCAGTCAAGGAAACACACAACACAAAACTGATTCTTCCCCCTAACATCTTACTCCAAAGTGGAACAAACCAGTTCTGTTGGTGCTAAGATGGTGTCTTTGGCACGCCCCCTCCTCTCGTGCCGGTCCTTTTCCTCATCGACAGTCGTGTATATGTTTATAACTTCACACTGAAACTAGGCCCCGTTTACACGAGAACAATCGCTGGAAACATTAGTGTTTTTTTACAATGTTTATTGAGGTTAATAAACAAAAAAGTGAGCAGGTTTACAGGAAAACGCTGTAGTTTCTATGTCAGTCGAGTTGCCAGATAAGAAATGATGAACTATAGTACTGTGGCTTTAAAATGATAGTGTTTTGACCTAAACTGTCACATGTGCTGAGTAAAGATATTCTAAGATGAGGTATGTGTTGTTTGTTGAACATGTGCACAGAAAAGGAGGGGTAAATAAGACATTTAAAATTTATCTGGCAACCCCGATGCTGGACTCAGCGGCATTCATCGCGCATGCAGCGTCAAACTGATGAATACACTAACTTCTCTTTGGGGCCTGGATTTTATTAGTTTTGCTCCTACATGCTGAAAAAAGGTGAGCAGCACAAAAACACTCTGCTCTCTGCAGTTTATTCTAACTGTTGTTATTTATTGTAACAGTTGTTATTTATTATA